GCACACCTCTGCCAAGTGTCTGACATAGATGCCACATGCACTTGCTCATTCTCCTTTACAAATTCACCTCCCAGGTGTGAGGAATCACCATTACTCAGTGCTGCTTGAAACCTGCGTGCAAAAGAGGGAAGTATCCAGTTCCAAGGAGGTTTAGAGAAACTGAGCAAGGCTCAGAGGAGCCAATGAAAATGATTTCAAGTTTTAAAAAAATGGCCTTCTGGAGAAAAGTGAGGATTCATTTAAACATATGGATAGGTAGCTCTGTGGGTATGATTTGGGCCATGGAGAATCATTCTCGCTCCCAAGAATTCGGCCTTTTGACACATGTCAGTACCTAACTTTCCACTGTTGGAGAGGTTACCTCTAGAAAATCCCTGTTAAAATGTACACTCACCTGAGATGATTAAAATTAAAAAAAAAAAAAAAAGGTGTTCACATTCACATGACTGATAGCTTATAGGATTAGTTAACTGTTCTTTCTTGGCACTCAGAAGTTCTGAAAGGCCCAAGAAAGGAGGCCCTTGATATGGAAAATGTTGCAGCAGAAGAGCTTTGTCCAAGGGAAAAGATTCTGGACCGGAGCTAAACAATTCTAGACTGTGACCCTGAGCATCTGGGCACAGCATAGGGGTTGACCCAGGGTAAAAACAAAAGGAGTTGGAAGGCAAATCTACTTAGTATGTACATTTCTTTAAGGTCATTTAAACCTAGATATATCTTTCTCTCCACCCTATCCCCTTTCTCTCTATCTGTCTCAGGATGTATATAGATGATAGGTAAATAGATAGATGATAGATAGATAGATAGATAGATAGATAGATAGATAGATAGATAAATGGAAAGATAGATTTATTTGGTCAGAGATTGTGATTTGCCCTTTCATATATCCAGTGAGTAAGAAAGAAAGACAGGGACAGAAAGATGTAGTTTAAAGAGCCCTGGATCGGGGATCCAAAGAGTGTCAGCTTCTTCCAATAACTTGGGTTGTAACTTAGGGAAAGCCACTCGCTATATCTGGACAATTTTCTCCTTGATAAAAAAAGGAAAATAATAACATCTCTGCCTACCTCATAAAAATCTTGTGACATTGAGGTAAAAGTTATATGTGAATATGTTCTGAAAGAAATAATCCCATATAAAAATAAGCTCTTTCTTATTTTAGATAAACCACATGACGTAATGAAAAAAGTCACAAACCTGGGTCCAGATCACACATGTGTCACCTAATACCTATGAGTTTGGGCAGCGTCAACTTTTAGCCCTTTATTTTAGAACATTGTGGAAATGACTTCAGTTGCACAGAATTACTTGATAGCATTAAAAGAGCTACTGTAGACATAGTGCCAGACACACAGTAAACAAACAATAGTTATTTGCTATATTCTCTTTCCTTCCATAATGTCTGCATTCAGGCAGGAGGGATGGGACTAGTCATTGACTAAAGGTTAAACAGTGGGATGGTTAAAGAATAGACATTATAGAATCTTTCACCCCTGAGATCATCTGATGTGTATTCCCACAGTCTGTCTGGGAACCCTGATAGCATTTTGTGGATCTCACTTGGAGCCTCAGGAATTCATTACAAATCCTGATTATGCAAGTAGTAGCCTCAGACTGCCAGCTGACAAAGCTGGTGATTGAAATACACTTGGGTGGCTGATAAAGTTCTGTCCAGAGTTTTGTTTACCTTTCTTTGTGAATACTGTGATTGCTATGCCAATCATTTCTTTCTAGTTAAGACTGAAGAGTTCAAGTTGTAGAGTTTCTTACTAGCTGTTAGTTTTATTCCTGAAATCACTCCATAAAATTGCTCTGGTCTCTAGCACTTATTTGGGTAAATGTGTGTTTAAATTAAGCAAATGTTTGTTCTGATGGAGCCATCCACAAAACATATGCTGCTCATGTTTTCTTTCTGTCAGTTTTGTCTTTCACCAGAGAGCTGTGCCAGTCGCCAGTCAATGATATGGCTTCGGGGTGGAGGAATTCGACATAAAGGTAGGAAGACATACTTTGAAATTAAACTGCATAAAAGATGAGAATTGTTTTGTAGAATCTGGAACTTTGGAATACTTACTGTCATAACTATTCCACTAGCTTTGACTCTTGAGGAGTCAAAAGTTTTTTACTCTAAGTAGCAAGTCCCATTCAAGTTTCCAATCTGCTGGTGGTGCCTCAGTAGGCCCCTCACACTGTGACTTCTCTGAGGTGGTAAGGAGGCAGAGAAGAAGTCCCCTTATTTAATTTCTAGCTGTTAGGACATTGCTGGGAAATGAGGAACTCCTTTTTTCTTTGCTAAATAAACACTTCAATGAACACCTTAACCACCTTTTTTAGATTTGGAAAGCAGGCAACAGAGAATGGAAAAACATTCTAAGTTGGATGGTTGGAGATACGACTTTGCCCCCAAACACTGTACTTTGCTGTTCCATTTTTCTTTTGTAAGGGAGGAAGTGAAGCAGTTCCTCCTCCCCACCCCTCTCCTTCTCGTCTTCCTTCTCCTTCTTCTTCTTTGGTGTAAATTGCCTGAGGTGACAGTTTTTTTAGGTTGTATGTTTTTGAGAAATTAGCCTTTTCTGAAGCGAATGTTTCTAATCAATGTTTGGACTTAGGCTACATGAAACCAACATTTCAAACATTTGAGAGGGAAGAGTACTCCAGCTACCCTTGCATTTCAGGAAGGTGTGGGCTGACCAGGGAAAGGAGGGATGAATCGTTAGAGACCTACAGCTTTTCAGAACAAAATAGGGGCAAAGGCTGTTTTGGGGGGAGGGAGGAGTGAGAGGTCAAAAGATCGATTTGTGCTACTATTTTGCCATTATACCCTTTTGCTTCATCTAAACTTTCCACTTTCATGGAACTGAAAAAAGACCTAATGTAAAAACAGGATTAATGTGAACATATCTGAATGAAAAATGGTTCTATTTAAGTTCAGATTAAAACATTCCACTTTATTTAAAGAGCAATCAGTTGTATAAGCAAACTCCAGAGTCAACTTCAGAAAATGTTCCTTCTGGTTAAAAAAAGTGGAAAAAAGTTAAAGTAAAAGCACTAAAAATTAGACTCACGCTTTTGCTGAAACTTGGAGAAAGATAGTATTGTAGAGTTGTGATCCCAGTTATTCTATGAAAAGGTAGATCTGGATCATAAGAAAGATATTAGAAAATTCTGGGCTCTAGGTAGCAGCATAACTATCAAAACAGGTCATTCCACAAAGTCTGGTGAAGGTCATTAACACATAAAACACAAAGGCCTTATTTTGCCATACAGAGAAACATAATTTTGGTAATAATCAGAAAGCATTTGCTATCCTTACAACTTAAAACAAAATGATAATATAATAAACAAAAAGTTTTTCAATACATCTGAAACATTTTAAGCAGCCAGTGGTTTTCATCTTGATTTGTTAACCTTAGATAATCATTCAATTCCTCCTCCATTTAAAAAAAATATATATATCTATTGAGTAGTGGGCTGAGTAGTGCTAACTCTGTGAGAGTTTTTGTCTTGAATTATTCCTTAAATCACTTTTTAAAAGTTTGTTTTACTTAAGAGGAAGAGCATTCTGTATGATGAGAATACAGTTAATGCAATTCAAAAAAACATGGAATCATGCTCAGATTTCATGAGAAATGTGTCAACAAGTTCATTGGTTTTAATTGTTTCCATTTTTGATGATTTCACCCAGTATCTGCTTTGGTGATGACTCTGACAAGTCATATTAATGATTTGCATCCTGGAATTTCTATCCATTGAATGACTTAGACTGGAATAAAGGATACAAACAAGACTGCAATTTACTTAAAATTGTGTGGCCATCTTGGTTGCTACTAAATTCTTTAAAAGTGATTATCAACAAAGTAATCCCGTTGCTTAAAGAACCTTCAGAAAGCTGCATTGATAATAAGCTGAAACAGATAATACAAAATATTTTAAATAACCATTGGATTTCAGTGGAATTTCAGCTAGGCAAGTATTTCAATTCAAGAAACATGATTTAAAAACACACTTTGCCTAATATTTAAAATAATGCCATTGTTTGCCATAGAATTATGCATGGTTGGGATCAAGACTATTCCCTTATGGCTAAAAATGGTCAAATAGCCAATATCAACCATTGCAAAGCCCCTGACCTTTGCTGATGACATCCAAGTCTTCTAAATCGTTCTATCCAAAAACAAAGAAACAGTAAATGCCTTTCAAAGAGGATCTCACTCAGGATAAAAAATATTAAAATAATTAAAGTTTAGGATTGAAATTTTCAACTTATGTGAGTCCTCTGTAGAGCATAGACCTGATGCAAATTCTCAGCTTTTCCCAACCACCTTCTTTTTTCCTCCTTTCTTCTTCCTTTACTGAGTATATCGTGTGCCCACCATGCATCCAGCACTGTTCTAGGTGCCAAGGAATCATTTTGATGTCAGTTTTGGCAGAAATAAGTTGCTACCTACCTACGAAAATACAGCTCCAGAATTAGATGGGAATGAAGAATAATAGGCCGAGCCTGGTCCCTACACTCCTTAAAAATATATTTCCAGGCTGAGTCTGCACATAGGAATCCCAGCTCACATTTCACTAGAGCCACCCACACGTTTCTCAGCCCTGCCTAACCCAGAGAGTCAGCTATCTTTCCCATCCCCCAAACATGGGCTGTTATTTATTACACCTGGGTAGGTAGCTTCCTTTGGAGGGATGCCCCCATGAGGCATCACATGCAAGCCCACAGCAGAGGCTGGAGGTTATCTCAGCAAATGTTTGTGCCTCCCAGTGCCAGCTGGCGCTCACAGGTGCAGCTTCCTGATGAAGTCTCTGGATGGGAGACCGCAGGGGTGGTGGCCACCTCAGGAACAGGGACTCCTTAGTAGACAGCAATAAGGACAGAACCCACTTTCATAGGCTGAGTGGATCTGCAGTGGCATAGAATTTTGAAAGCTTCAGATTGGAAACCTTTTGTCTTTTCATTTGTTTTTATAGAAGCAAGAAAGGCGGCTGTGTTGAAGACAATGACTCATATGTTTTTGCTGTACTGCTTAGTGTTTCTTGTGCCCACAGAGTCCTGCAGGACATTATGCCAGGTAAGAGAAGGGAGGGAGGGGGATGAAATGGCGGGGAGATCAAATGGAAACTAAAACCCAGCTCTATGTTATCTGAGCTGAAATGTAGGGAGAAGATGGTGGCAGAATGGTTCAGCCAGAAAAAAGTTGCAACTATATGAACCAAAACCCATTTTAGCCAAGAGCTACAATTTATTTTCCCATCAATTTTTTTCTGTACATTTCTGATATGCAATGAGGTACAAATTATTTAAGGGTGATAACTCTTTAACTCTTCTTTCTGTATCCTTTGATCATGAAGCTTTCAGTTGGTTGTAACTAGGGCAGTGCCACTTCCTCAGGGGCACTTGGAAATGTGGGTGCAGTGACTGGACTGGAAGATATTTAATGCCATTCAGTGTGGGCAGGACCTAGGAATGGCCTGCCACAATGAAGCACTGTCCCACCCCAAATGGTGTCTCCTTTGCAAAACCTGATAATGACCACTGTGGATGGACTGGAAGGAGCAACAAGCAACTCGGATAGTCAATGGCTAATCAAGGTCTAACTGGGATGGAGTTTGTAACAATGTACTGTTTGTATATTTTTGTGGGGCAGTGAGTGCTACGGCTCTCTCCGGGATATTTCTCCTCATACTACATAAGTCACTTTAATTTCCCTATTAGTTACTTATTTAAAATAAAGTATGGAGAACCATTGAGGGAGAAGGGGAAAGAGAGAAAGAAGGAGAAGAGAAGAGACTATTATTATTGGAGCACATGATCTGGAAGGGAGCTTTGAGATCAACCGGTGAAGCTCCACTGCCTTATTTTATCAATAGGGAAACTGAGGCCCATGGTGTGGAATGCGACTTGCTGAGGTTACATTCCTACTTAACTAAAGAGCAAGCCCAAGACACCTGTCTTCAAATTCCCAGTTTCTTGATCTTTCCATTTTAATATATGCCTTCTTAAGAAGAGCCTCCTTAAGAAAGAATGACTTTGGAAATTCTAAATTTCCAAGTGACATTTACTTTACTCTCTAAGTAGTCTGTCTTTGGGTGGAAATTTTCTCAAGGACTCCCCTTCCTTCTAACACTGAGCTAGTTCCTAGTTTCTGGAAGAGATTAGACAGAGACTCCTTCAGAAAGGCCTTTTCTGGGCAGCACCCCAACCCCGCAGCATGATGCTCATTCCTCTCTTCATTTTCTCCTCCATACTTTTCTACAAGACAGAACTTGAAGAGCAATCAGAGCATTGAAGGTTAGCTTTGTTTTCTTGATTATTTGGGATCACCTTACCAGGAACATTCCATTCTTTTATTTTTACTAAGCAAGTTATGGATGCCGAACTTCTGGTGCTACTCCTCTCCTGACCTTCCCACTCACCCAGGCAGCTCCGCAGGTTTAGCAGTGGCAGGTTTGAGGTGTTTGTTTGTTTATTTTCCTATTCATTTATTTATTTCAGTATTCGGTTAAGGATTTTGTTGGTATCTGAAGCTAACATAACTCATTTCAGATGCCACCCTGGAGATGAAGTGACCGGGAGTTGCATATGGGTGTGCTTTGGCAAATTAACTAGGAAGAAGTGAATCAGGTCCTTCACTGAAGAAGGCAGTTTCCAGAATTCCTTGTAAATAGCATACCCCAGCCTCGTGCCCACGTATCTGATTAACATTATGTGACTTCACTGTAGTCTGTTTAATGGGCCAAGTATTATCCAGAGTTAACTACTCTTACGTGCTTTATTATGGTGTATTGGAGACCATGGCCCTCTCAAGATGAGCTTAGGGTCTCTTGAGATGCTTGTACTTCCGTACACCCTCCTCTGGCTTCTCCACTTGGACATGGGTTGGCTTGGTGGAAAGAGCAGTGTTGTGGGAGTTAGGAGAGCTGAGTTCTGGTCGCAGCTCTAAGAGGAACACCCTGCATGGCCTTGTAAACGTTACCTCATCTATCTAAGACTCACTTTCCTTTTCTGCAAAATAAGAGGGTTGGACTGATTGGACTATAAGGTCTTTCATAACTCCAAAAATATCATTTAGTGTTCTTGTTTAGTGGAAGGCCTTTACTCTTCCATATATACAATAAGGCTTGATTCTCTAGATTGTGAAATGAGGAGTCATCTTACATCAGTATTTTGGAGGATGTTGCATTCCATGAATCAGAGATACCTTCCTCATTTTGGACAGACCCCAAGTGCTCAACTCAGATTCTCCATAAGTTCTCATGTGGTAGATAAAACAGAAGATTTGTCATTGTTTCCTCATAACATAGAGAGAAACAATATATTGTGAAGAAGAAAGGAATATGAAATCCAAGTGTTAGTCACATAGCTGAGTCACTGAATTTCCACTTCCTCCCCAAATATTGAGATCTAGGAATACGAGTTGGAGTAACTGTCCCAAGGCTCTTTCCAGCCACCAGAGGGCAAACTTCTGGTGCAGAAGCAAGAAAATATAGATTCATATTCCACACATGCACAAACACATACAAACGTGTATATACATACAAACATGTACATATACATATATTTGCTGATGTTGCTACTTAGTGGGATACAAAGAAGCACAATACACAATCCATGTTCTTAAGGAACTTTTAATTGAGAAGCTAATAGATATATATAAAAAATAACTTGATAGTAAGATAGCAGGTCAGGTGAGTACATGCCAAGCACTGATTGAGTGGTATGGTGGTATGTATAATACATTTTACAGGAGCCAGAGAAGAAAATATGTATCATCTAGAACTGGATTAGGAAACACTTCTTGGAGGAAGCAAACTTGGGCTTTGTTTCCAACATGCAGTAAATCCATTTTCAGAGAATGATAATGAAAGCTAAATCTTAATTACCACTTACAATATTATAGGCTCAGTTCAAGTGTTTTTCATACATGATCTCATTCATTCTTCATAAAAATCATCTGAGGCAAGATTATGGAATTATAGTACTATAATTCCTACACAGCTTTATGGAGGAGGAAACTGAAGCTCAGGAAGGTGAACTTTCCCAAAATCTTAAGTGGCAGTGTCGGGATTTGAACCCAGACACTCTGTTCCTAAAGTCACCCCTTGATCAGTGTGACACAGCTTCTCAGCACCATACAGATGGGTGGGAAAGAAGAGGCTTCTAATCAGGAAAGGTGGAAATGCCTGTGATAAGAGAAAGCCAGGTTTTGGGGAACCTCTCTTTAAAAAGAATACAAAATTACAAATACAAAATTTAGGGAAAAGTGAATATTTAGTTCAAATGAGAAAAAGAATCATTCAATAATTACTCAGCATTATTTTGTAATAACTTCTATGAAAGAACAATATTTTTATTAATGAACCACCCACAGTTTTTTGTTCCTACATCTCTGGCTACATACTTGCATGTCAATAATTTTATAATTTTTTTCTATAGAGAGAAGAGAAAGATTATTCAGTCTTTCCCCTAGAATTGCTGAATAATTTTATTATTCTAGTTTACAAAAATAGTTTCCAGCTTCTCAGTTCATTATTAGCAATGCCATGTAAGTATGTAGCATTGTTGTCAAATTTGGGAAAACCTCTAATGATTTTCTTTCATATGTGGCCTAAAAGGTTTCAGGGCACTTAGAACTTTCTTATTCTGTGACTAATTGTAAGTACTCCTGGAATTAATGCCACTTAAGTATTGATGTCCTCACTGTAATGCAGAAGTGACTGCAAACTATGTAAGTACTATTCCATCCAAGCTAAATGTATCCCCACCTCAGCTTCTACTTGTCTGGATTCCATAAACAGCTACAGCCTCCCTGGTGCTGTCCAAAATGAGGGAGTATGTGAAGGAGGGGGAGTTGGACTGGCAAAAACTAATGGTCTGAACAGATGGTGGTTAAACTGCTTTGTTTTTGAAAATTTAATAAAACGTATGATCATATGAAGCCATTGCTAGATCTTCTCTCCGTGCTTTGAAGGGGCCCATACAAGCAATGGATTCTGAAGCTTAACCTGCAATAACTTCCCAGTGAATCCGCCTCTGCTCATGATGCATTTCTTAGGTAGAAAGCAGCTCATCCCCACTAGAGTGGAAGGAGGGCTCCTACTGAATAGCAGGGGGAGAGATAGCTGTCCAGGCTGAAGAGCACATGGGGTCATGGGACATGCTTCATGGTCTTAGCTTTTGGTGGCATCCTGGCACCATAGCTGATGAAGATGTGGTTGTTGGTCTGGGACTAAAGTGAATCATAGGACTGGAATATCACCATTTGATTTTGATGTGAATTTTGATTTTCCCTCTCTAGGATGCCAGAAAAAGCAAAGAGAAGGTATCTGCTGGAGCACATGGTATGTAGCAGTTACTGATCAAAGGAAAATTTTACTGTCTATCTGTTGCCATAGAGGGCCATCGTCAGCCCTGTCCTATGGCATGACTGATGGGACACCCTTATGGCTTACACTGGGGCTCCCTTTTTATTTTTCTCATATTATATTATGCCTTTGATCCCCACTTCCCTCTCCTGCCAGCACCCTCTGCTCCCTCCTGGTCTGAGAGTTCTTTGTTATAAATCCTTTGCATTGAGCCAACTCAGATGGGGCGGTGGCTAGTACAGGTCTGTGGGAACTCATTGATGACATAACTCATTATAGGCTCCAGAGATGGGAGGTTTCTTGAAGAACAGCAGGTACAGTGGCTTCCAAACTGTCCCCTCATCTAGGGAACTGAGGAGGTGCTCAGGGCGTTCCTGTGGGTTGTGTCAGGTACCTCGTGGACTGAACTGTGGGCTCTTCTCTTTCACTTCAACTGGGCCACTTATGCTTTTCTGTATTTCCTATATTTGAGTTTAGGATAAGATATTGTTGGAAACAATAGGAGTTTTTCACTGAAATATATGATGATGATTGATCTACTTCAATCTTCCTCCACTTTACAAAGAAAAGACAGTCGATATCCACAGGATTTCTGTGCCTTTAGGTGTTGATACCTTGATGACTGGCTCATGCAGCCAAGAGTCCAGACCTCTCCATCTGATGCTGATGCCTTTTTTGTTCCCAGGTGCATGCTATGGTGTCTGTGTGGACAATTCCAACTGCACTCAACCTTGCCCCCCTGACACTCCAGGAAATATGGGGTTTGTATGTAGGCAAAAGAAATGGTACAAGATCACTGATACCTGCCGGACTCTTACAGCCTCTAACATCTTTGAGGTAATAATATCTTTTCTCCTTACATGTGCAGTAGAGCCCCAAAATAGCAATACATACTGCACTCAATAAGAGAAAGGGATGGCTCCAGGGGCGTTTGCAGCAGAATACATAAACACCCACCTGTCTTCTCTCTATGCTAGAATGGCCTTCTTAACATTGGGCACCTAAATGTTTGTGCTCCAGCCTCCCATGCCTTTCATGACACAAAGGGATCTGACCATTTAGGTCAGAGCTGGAAGAGCTGCCTGGAATCATCACAGCTTACTTCTCCATTCCCACTCTTAGCTCTTCAATACCCCAAAGCCTGGCTGCTCAATGTGTCCTTCACTGACCAGCAGCACAGGACATCTCTGAGAACTTTTAGACATGGCCCCACCCTAGACCTGCTGAGTCCCGTTCTTCATTTTACCAAGATCTCCAGGTGACTTCTGAGCTCAGTAAAGCATGAAAAGAGAGCTGACATAGAAGGAAGGACTCCATTGTCAAACAAAGAGCATATTTCCACATATACTTAAGTAGTTACACATGTAAAAAAAATCAAAATCTGGTAAATAAAATCAGGTCAAATGTTATTTCTTCTTCTTTTGTTTCTTTTTCTCCTGTTCTGGCAGGGGCTTTACCTTTCTGAAGTTCAGCTTCTGATTCGTTCAGGGGCATCAATGCTTTAGCATCTCTTGTGTCCTAGCAACATTCCCATCCCCTGTTTGGGGGCACGGCCAGGGGGAGAAAGTGCATGCTATACCGAAGTTCCCCTACTGGACTTTAAAAGGATGCCCACGCCTGATTTGAAGGACCTGTGCAAAGATATACATGGAGAATGACATATATGCCCTCAGATTTAAACTGAGCCTACAAACTGCTAAATAAAATAGGTTCTGTCAGTCTCCAATTCCAGAATTCCATCCTGCACCTTGAGGGTGGTGGAAGGCCAAGGCCACACCTCCCTAAGCCTAAACGCAGGTGTCTCTTTGACACCGCTCTCTCCTGCGGGTAAGCACACTGGTGACATAGTCCATCCCTGGCAGCACAGACTTAGGGCAGGCCCTGGAAATGGGCTTGCAATTCTTGAGTAGAAAATTCAGGTGTCTAGAAGCAGGGACATGAGTTCTGAGCAGGCATGTCCTCTAGACCATAGATTTCTTGTCCTCTGTCATGTGGCAGGCTGGAGAAGGGGGTCCACCATAGGAAGGTTTGGCAATTTTTTTTTTCTGTAAAGGGCCAGATATTCTAGGCATTGTGAGTATTATGGTCTCTGTTGAAACTACTCAGCTCTGCCACTATAGCATGAAAGCAGCCATAGACGATACTTACAATGAATGAGCAAGCTGAGTCTCAATAAAGTTTTATTTACAAAACAACAGGCAGCCATCCTGGGGCCATACTTTGCCACAGGTGCTTTAAAGTGTGGGACTCAGAAATACTGTCAGTCACTATTTTTAGTCTTTCTTCCCTCTCAGTGTTCCAGTCAATTCATCTAAATCTGTTCCAAATTTCTATTTTTAAAATATGCTTATGTCTCATGCTCTGCCCCTTAGGAAGAGTAAAAAATAAGCTTACATGGCACTAGAAATCTATCTTTGTGCACAGTATATATGGAGAGCAGTGGTGTGAAGTGGTATGCTAAAGATACCAGTTGCTCTTTGGACATAGGGGGTTCAGGAGTAGGCAACTGGCAAGCTGGGACTTCCATTTTCTGCTCATACACCTTGGTACTGGGCAGGTTGTTCCACAGCAGATGTGACTTTGACGATGTAAAATAGAAAAGCATTATGCAATATACAATTGTGTAAGAAGGCTGTCCTACATTTTAGGAAAGGTACTTTTACATTTAAAACAAAAGTAATATGATAAAAAACTTCTTTCTTTTGCTACTTCTTAGGAGGATCTACCTACACTGGCAGCACCTCCAACAAGGATAAAAATAAATGAATATGCCAAATCTGAGGCCATTGCAGATATGCTGTTGCAGAGATGTCCGAGGGATTTGTCCTGTGTCATTACGAACATTCAACGTTCTCCTCGGATACCAGGCAACATTGCTGTCATTGTGCAGCTCCTACACAACATATCAACAGCAGAGCTACCGACAAATGTGGATGAAACAAAGATGCAGGTGAGTGGCCTTAAATATTTGGGAGAGCATTTGTGGGTGTGGTATGGGAAAGGAATGCATGTTAGTTGGAGCTTTTGGGGGTCTAAGTAGACCATGTCTTTTACTTCAGTATCTCAAATATCTTGTAAGTGCTGAAAATAAACATTCACTGAAAAAAAATGAGTAAAGGAATGGAGAAAGCGAATAAACTCATTCTACAAACATTTAAAGGGAGCATTTACTGGGTGCTGGATTGTACATTGAGGAAAGTTTTTCCAATATATATTTTGTCTACTGAAAACCTCTGAGAACCATCATAGGTTTTACAAAGAGAAAGACTTATTTGTGAGTCAGAATAGGTTGCTAAAGTGGAAAATAACTGGATGCCAAGAATAATAGCAATAATCTGCTGCAGAAATATGAAATGGAATTGGACCCACTTCCTTTGTTTTGATCTTCAAAGTAGAGGACAGTAAAGAGGAGGTTCAGTCTCTGGGGTCAGTCTCCAATTTGGTACAGTCCTGTCCAGTGGTATTTAATAGATGTTAATTACCTAGTGATCAAGGTAAGCAAATTGCCATTCTTACCCAGGTACGAAGTGGAGCTGATGAGGGAAATGAGCATGGTGAAGGCTTCCCACTTGCCAGTCTCATAGGAAGGCATTATATAAAGGGGAGGAGGGCAGCTCCCTTATGTCTGTCCTCCAACTCAAACTTGAGCAGCATGTGAGTCACCTCAGGATTTCATTAAGTTGCTAATTCTAAATCCTTTGGTCTAGGGTGGGGCCAGAGATTCTGCATCTTTAAGAGGTTCCCAGGTGATGCCTATATTGCTGGTTGACAGACCACATTTTATAAAAGGGAAGCTTGAATGTCCTGGAAGATTCAGACAGTGGCTCACTACTAATGCCAATTCTTCTTTGACAGAGTTACAGCATCATGGCCAACCACATCCTTGACAGCAAAAGCATCTCAAACTGGACTTTTATCCCTGAAAAAAACAGCAGCTGTGTGCTGCTACACTCGGTCAATACCTTTGCAAGAAGGCTACTTATAAATAAACATCCTATTGACATACCGGATGAATTCATTCATACGATGGGCACCATCATATCTGGAGATAACAATGTAAAGAATTTAACTTTCTCAATGAGAGTTAATGACACCTCCAGTAATGTCACTGGGAGGGTGCTGATCAGCAGAGATGAAGTTCAGAAGATACGTTTCCCTTCTCAGGTCATCAGCATTGCATTTCCAACTCTTGGAGCCATCTTAAAAGCCAGTATTTTGGAAAAGGACACTGTGAATGGGCTTGTCCTGTCTGTCATTTTGCCCAAGGAACTTAAAAGAATCTCATTCCTTTTTGAAAAGATCAAGAATTCTGAGGGGAGGGGGACACAGTGTGTTGGCTGGCACTCCTTAGAGAGCAGATGGGACCAGCATGCTTGTCAGATGATTCAAGAAAACTCCCAGCAAGCTGTTTGCAAATGTAGACCAAGCAGGGTGTTTACCTCATTCTCCATTCTTATGGCACCACACACCTTGGAGAGTCCCATCTTGGTTTACATCACGTACATAGGCCTGGGCATTTCCATCTGCAGCTTGATCCTTTGCTTGTCCATTGAGGCCTTGGTCTGGAGCCGAGTGACGAAGACAGAGATCTCATATTTACGCCACCTGTGTATTGCTAATGTGGCAGCCACCTTGCTGATGGCTGATGTGTGGTTCGTTGTGGCTTCCTTTCTTAGTGGTCCAACAGCACACCACAATGGATGTGTGGCAGCAACATTTTTTGTTCACTTATTTTACCTTTCTGTGTTTTTCTGGATGCTTGCTAAGGCACTTCTTATCCTCTATGGAATCCTGATTGTTTTCCATACACTGCCCAAGTCAGTCCTGGTGGCGTCTCTCTTTTCAGTGGGCTATGGATGCCCTTTGGTCATTGCTGTCATCACAGTTGCTGCCACTGAGCCTGGCAAAGGCTACCTACGGCCTGAGGCCTGCTGGCTCAACTGGGACATGACCAAGGCCCTCCTGGCCTTTGTGGTCCCAGCTGTGGTCATTGTGGTAGTAAACCTGATCACAGTGACAGTGGTGATCGTCAAAACCCAGCGACCTGCCATTGGTAGTTCCATGTTCCAGGAGGTGAGAGCCATTGTGAGAATCAGTAAGAATATCGCCATCCTCACACCACTGCTGGGTCTGACCTGGGGATTCGGAATAGCCACAGTCATCGACGACACCTCCCTGGTCTTCCACATTCTCTTCTCCTTGCTCAATGCATTCCAGGTAAGTCCAAGTGCTTCTGACCAGGTTTGAGTGAGAGAGTTCAGAAAGAAGTCTTTGTGGTCAAGAGGTTGTGCCATCATATTTATTCCTAAAAGACAGTGGATATAGAATAGTCTATTGGGTCAGGAAATAAGCTTTTGTTCCAGAAGGGCCTGGATTCAAATCTTGAGTCTATCATTTACTAATGTGTAACATTCTTCTGGGATATTTGCTTAATTTTTCCAAACCATATTTTTCTCATTTATAAAATGGGTATAATCTGCCCATTTCATAAATAGTGAATGGGGAATCCTCAAGTATTAAGATGATCTACAGATCACAAGTAACCTAAAAGTAGGCTGAGTTTTAACTGGTTTAGGAATTAAACAATACCACTTCCCCCAAAATCTAGGTATGTAACTGATGTATTTACATATGCAAATTTATATTTTATTCCATTTAGAATTTTTAGTTATCTTTGTAAACCATTTTATTTTAATAAAGCAAGTCACACAGAGTGGTATTAAAGATAGTTTCCCCTGTCCTCTCCCCTCTTAACTCACCTCTGTGAATTAAAAAATGTTAATTAAATATATTTTTACATAATATAGGGGTTAAAAATAATATATAGTATTTTGCAACTTACTTTTTCATTTAAAAATACATCCTAGCATTTTTACCAGGTTAGTATGGATATATATGTCTCTTTAATGGATGCATCGTATTCAATATTCAACAATTCCTTTCTTGATTGAATTTTCCTACTTTTTTTTTTTTTTTTGGTTACAGTCAACCAATGAGTCAAAGTTTATTATATTGAATGTTAACTATGTAAATAGCAACCAATTGAAAAGAAAGCTTTTATTTTCCAAAGGCCTCTAAAATATTTTTTTGAATGCATGCTTATTTAAAGAATTTATTTCCAAATAAATATTTTACCTAATGAATAATAGAAATTTTAAGTCACATATTTTTTTCATTTTTCTCCTTCAAAATTTAAGTATAAATGATTTTATGTACAATGAACATTTTGATGTCTTAGAGAACAATGTTAACAATAATAAGGATCCTAATCTTTTGACTCCCTGTTGTTTTTCTGCATTTCTATAGAATATACTAACTGTATTGGGTTAGCCTAAAAGTCCATATGGTTTTTTTCCAGAAAATAAGAGACACATTTTTCATTTTCACCAACAACTTTATTGATTTGGATATTTTGAGTATGTTTGCTATCTCTTGAGTGGTAGACCATTGATTGTTCTCAATTAATGTCTCATTTGATTGCTATCAACTTCAACTGGTCTACCTGACCATGGAGCATTATCCAGCAAGAAATCTCCAGCATGAAACTTAAGAAACCACTTTTGACATGTTCCATCAGTCACAGCACCATCTCCATACACTGCACAAATCTTCTTCTTTTTTTTTTTTTTTTGCATTTCAGTTGTGTTTTTACCTTTCCTGAAATAATAAAGCAAAATATGCCAAAAATGTTATGTACTTTCTTCCACCTCCAATATTAAAATGGCTACACAAAAATTTACCAATTTTGATAAGTTTTTTTAAAATGCATACTGACATGACAGCTGTCAAAATACAATCTAACAAAATTGTTTTGAATGAAGTTAAAGACTACTAAGCACTACTAGCACCATCTTACAGAAAAAATCAAATGAACACTTTGGCCAATCCAGTATGCTACATTTTCTGTATAGCTCTTGGTAATGATTAATTCCCTTACCTATGTTTATGCATCTAGTCACTGAAAGGACTGGGATAAAAACTCAGTGTTTCTAAATTTATGTTCAGCATATGCCATGGCTATTTGTCATGAACTTAATGAGTTCACGTCTTACTCCTCAGCGTTTTCCTTTTCTTGCCTCCCTTGGGGCCATCTTAATTTTGGTTTTTGTTTTGGACTAGGCTGTAAGCACTTGTCTTTCAATATCATGAGCTCTTTTACCTGTCATAACAGGATTAACTTGTAATTGCAACTCAGTTACTGCCTTGACTCTTGACAAGGAGGAGGGTGGGGCCCATCTAAGTAGCAGTACCAAGGGGAGAGTGAGAAGCCAAGAGCAGGTTTTGGGTGAAGGCCAGATACTGGGGCAGGCATTAGGCAGTAGAGTGCTGAAGCTGGCTTGCATTAGCTCAGGAGAGCTGACTGCTGTATTTTCAGGAATTTTTGCAAGCTGGTTGTAAACACAAACATCACTAAATTATGTAGACTTAAAATGAAATAAATCAGATTAAAAACAAAGGTCAGACATCTTCAAAACTCATCACTTCCTAATTGTTTGTTCACAGTATACCATGCTCTTGAGCTTATTTGAATCTACAGTATCTGTATGGTGGAAACACTGTATAATGTTATGTCTGTCTCTTCCTAACTTTACAGTCAGTGATGTCACGTTGCTAGATTTAAATCAGCCATGGTAGAAGTATTTAACCATGGAGATTGACAAGTGCTACAATTTAGCAGAGGTGATTACCAGCATATCAGTGGATCAAGGTATCCTTGGGAGAAGAGGAAGGAGAGCCATAGATCTAATGAGGTGGGAGACAGAAACAACTGAATGGGAAGAAGCAGGACGAGCAGAGTCTTAGGATGAACTGAGATGAGAGTCAATTGAGGCTGATGGAGCAGACTGAGAAGGAAGATTCCTAAGCACGCTAAGAGCACCACTGGTTTTTAAGCTCAACCAGCCCCTTTACTAGGGAAGGATTATTATACAGGGTGTGTTAAAAACAGATTTACAGTTGTGAGTAAGCAAAACATAGACTTTAGTTTATATTTTTATTTATTAATTATTATATTATTTTCCATATGAACAATTTTTGCTCCTCACACCCTGTACAGTAAGTTGCTGCCTTGAATGCTATTTTATCAATCCATAACATCTAGTTGGTATCTTCTCCTGTATTTACTGAGAGTAACTATAAGCTGGGTAAGGTTTGGGGACCCTTATAACAATGGGTGGCTTATGAACAATAAAAACTTGTTTCTCAAAGTTCTGGAGGCTGGGAAGCCCTAGATCGAGGCATGAGCAGGTTCAGTGTCTTGTGAGAGCCTACTTCCTGGTTTTCAGATGGATTGCTGTCTTCTCGCTATGACTTCCCCTAGTGGAAGGGACAAGGGAGCTCTCTGGGGCCTCTTTCGTAAGGGCACCCATCTCCTTATGGAGATCACCACCTCCCAAAGGTGTGCCTCCTAATATCTTCACATTGGGTGTTCGGATTTACATGTGAATTTGGGGGTGGAGAGCATTCAATCTATGGCAGTAAATCACATGTTTTTAAACCTGGGAGAACACGTTGGGATTTATCTGCTCAAATTGTGGTTTTCCTATTAGAAGAAATGCAAAGAAGTTGCTACTTCTGAATTCATCTCAATCAGAAACTAAACCTTATGACTAATACTATACCTAAATTTTATGAATGATATTTTGTGTAACTTTTCCCAAGGTGGCATGGGCCAATATAAAGTGATTGTAGTGAGGTGTTTCCCTGTTACATATTTATAGCTATGCAGATGAGATTGCATAATAAGGAAATTAAACACATGCACAGGCATAGACAAACACACAGAGATGCCATATTTACTCAGTATTTATTTTGTGCCAAGCATTATGCAATGCTGCAGGTAAAAATATTAGTCCAACCTCAAGCAACTGAAGATCTTTCAAGGATATAAATTCCTCTTAGTCCTTTAGCTAAAAGAATGTATATTTGTGGAGGAAACAGGCTAGAGTTGTGATATTTCAGATGTTTTAAAAATTTAACTCCTGGGCAAAATTCATGGAGACTCTGAATTAAAATGTATTCTTAGTGCCCGAACCAGACTGGGATGTACCTGTCCCAAGCATTTGTATACAAATGGTACTCCTCTGTAACTTTATGGATCATGCCATCAATGGCATTTTGTTAGTAGACCAATTGACAGAGTTCTATAGTTATCTTGTAGGCTAAGAGTGTCACACAAAAAAAGCCATCTGATAGAAGCACTCCAAGTTTGGAACACCTGCTGGGCTGGCTGAATGGAGAGGTATATTTTAGTATGCTTCAGGGAGCGGATGAGCTGCTTGGCCATCCAGATACTCACTGGTCCCTGTGAAGTCCCCCACCTTTTAGCTGAGCTTTTGCAAATCATGACAGCAGTGGCTTTGGTATCGTTCCTGCTGATGACCACTTGGTTGCAACATCTTTATTATTTTGTATTAAACCCAGGTACCTTGATAGACCTCTGCCTGGGTTAAGGTTTACATTTGATTATGAGATCAGAGCAACTTAACAGAGACATCTAAATTAAAAGTCATTATCTCACTTCTCTTTTTTGGTGAGCAAATACCTGAATATCTACACTTTTAAGAGAAATTTTGTCTAATCAATGTTGCCGTCTGTCACATTTTGAAAGTTGAGTCTCGGAGCTTCCTTTTGTTATATGCGAAATAGGATGAATATTTTTTCTTCTTCTGGGGTGGTTTTTTGCCACCGAATATGAAAAAAAGATTGAAAGCTCAAATGGATTTAATGATGGAGGAAGAGCTTCCTTTTGACTTTGATGCTGTCTTTCTTTCTTATGGATGATAAGAGATATGAGAGCTAAGTAATTCCTTCTGTATCATATTTGGAAAACTTATATCTGAGCACCCATTATGTAATTAGAAATTCAATCTGTTTTGGGTCTTGGTTTTTCTGAAGATCCATGTACTTGATTTTTCTTTGCAATTTTATAACTGTTTTTGGTTGTGGATGGGGGAAGGAGGTTGAAAGTATTAAATAAAACTGAGCATGGATGATTTTTATTCTGTCTGTGAAAGTTTCTTTTATTACTCACTATTCAGGGATTTTAATGATGCCATCCATTGCATAATATCTCCTTTGACTGTTGCTTGGACCATTATTTTCTGGTGAGATGCACAGCTCCTGGTAAATGCAAAATACTTTTATTTTGTCCAAATTAAAAAGAAATTCTTATAATATACTTGCACAAACCAGAGATGCTCCAAGTGTCTGGAACAGAGGCTTGCACAAGGAAGGTGCTCTACCAATGTTTGTTGAATGGATGAATCTAAGTGTTGTGACCTTAAAATGAGGGAGTCAATGAATGAATCAAATGGTCTTCATTTCAGTTTTCTTTTTATTACTTTTATCAATTTCAGAATAGGAACTGATAATGAATGCTGGTATTTCTTGAATTTGTTATTATTATAAATATTATTTTGAAAATGGCTCTTTTCTTCCCTTTTCTGTCTTTCTCAGGGCTTCTTCATCTTGGTGTTTGGAACAATCCTGGATCCAAAGGTACTATAAATTCTTATTGGTTTTTTTCCCCTGTATTAACAATACTTGGCCCTGAGATGCTTATTTGTAAAGTCCACCTCTTGAAGGTATTGTACCTCAACTATTTGTGTAGACTCTTGAATAGGACATCACTGTTATTTGTAATGCAAATGCTACTAGCCATATTTCAAGCTCTTAAGGGGCTAGCATTTTATGTACATTAGCTTTAATCCTTAAAGCAAACTTAGGTATTCCTATTTCCAGTTTTATGGATGAGGAGACATTCAAAGTCATTAAGTAGCTTGTACACAAGTTCTATAGAAAAATCAAGTACATGGATCTTCAGAAAAACCAAGACCCACTCTAACTAGTTGTAGCAGAAAAGGAATTTATTAAATCTCATAATATCACCTGTGGAAAGATGTCTCTTTGGCTTGGAGGCATGGAGGCTACACAGCAGGAATGGTCTGCAGTTCATAGCATAGAGCTGCTCCGCATGTTACACCTTCCCAACTTTCCTGGCCACTAAAGTACAGCCCGCCAAGCCAATGTCAAATAGTGGGCACTAAGCTAGAGTTGCTGCTGTTACTGCTTCAGGGATCACCTCCATCCTGCCTGTTGGGACCCAATGGCACCTGCACCTTGAGCTATCATGTCTGATTGGCTGAGCTCTGGTCATATGGCTGTATCTTAGCTGCAACAGAGGCTGGGAAAGTGAGTTCCTGGCTTCTACCTTGAAGAGAAATGGACTCAAGGAAAGCAATTATTCTAATACAGAGAGTGGGTATAGGTAGTGGGTAGTAAAAACAAATAAAACCTAAACAAATGAACAAAACACCAAATATTTACTTAAGCTTCTAAAATCACCCTCTTTCTATTGTACTATACTGTCTCATGAATGAGAAAAGCAAATAACCCTCTCAGATATAGATGCAGACACCTTCACTGCAGGGGTTTATTTTATTTTTTAATTAATTTATTTATTTACTATCAATGCTATTCTACTAATGGTCCTTTCATTTTCTTATTAGACTACCATAACCTGATAAAATTATTCAGAGGTAAAAGTTAGTGTATTAGTCTTTTAGCCTTGATAGTTTTCTGTACTAGCTGTGTGCCATTGAGGAGATCCTTAGTTAGCATGAACCGCAGATTCTCCAAAGCAAATGCAAAGATAATGTTTCCCTTTCCTTTTTTTTGCTAGATTATGGGAAGGAACAAAAGCAATTTGGAAGTGGTGGGAAACACATAGAAAGCATTTATGTTATTATGTAGTTGCATGCCATATTATCATTTTTTTTGTTAATCTAATACCACAATTAGTATTTTATAGCCAAAGCATCAGCAGCATTGTTATTATTTATTAGTGTACCAGTGTTAGGTGTTGTGAGATGTGCCAAAAGCTCTAAGATATGGAAGCTTCCATTAAGATAAAAATATTTTACCTTTAAAACTATAATGTAAAAGGTAAATACTGAAAGGTGATATGATTAATTGACAAAAATTTGTAAGGTAGTCCTCCTTATCTGTGGGGAATACTTCCCAAGATCCTCAGTGGATGCTTGAAACCATGGATAATGTCAAACCCTGTTTATAGTCTGTTTTTTTTCCTACACATACATATTTACAATAAAGTTTAATTTATTATGCACAATGAGATATTAACAATAATACCTAATAATAAAATAGAATAATTATAACAATATACTATAAATTATGTCAATGTGGTGTCTCAAAATATCGTACTGAACCGTACTCACCTTTTCACTCAAAGGAAGCACTTTACCACTTCTCTCTGCCAGCATCACTACTCTTGTGTTTTGGGGCCATTATGAAGTAACATAAGGGTTCCATGGACACAAGTACTACAATACTGTGACGGTCAATCTGATAACTGACATGATTATGAAGTGACTAACAGGTGGGCAGGGTATACAGCATGGATACACTGGACAAAGGGATGCTTCACATCCTACGCAGATGAAGCAGAATGGCAGATCTTATTATGTCACTCAGAATAGCACATGATTTAAAACTTATAAATTGTTTATCTGGAATTTTCCATTTAATATTTTGGGATCAGGGTAGACTGTGGGTAACTGAAACTATAGAAAGCAAAACCACGGATAAGTGGGTACTACTGAATGTACCTGCAGTCTTTAAGCTTTTAGCATCACCTATTCCCTGATGTGTTTACTATTAACTTACAAAGTATGTATTATGCACATTGTGAAACACAGAATTCCAAAAAGACAAGAGGAAAAAAATTTAAACAGAGGCTTCAGTATGGTATGTGTCTGTGCATTGCCATGGACTTTGCGTACACAGACCCCACACCAGGGAGAGCTCCTGCTTCTTGGGAGCCTGTCTGTGACCAACAACACTGCATTTCCAGGGAAGGGTGAAGTTACTCTGAGCTAGGGGACTTTAACATACATTAGCTGTGAAGACAAAACTTCTACAGCTGGAAGAAGAATAACATTTTAAGTAGCAAAAGGCAAGAGAGTGCCTGGATACAGTAGGAGAGATTTAGGGAAAATGACAGGATGGTCTGAAGTCAGGGGGCCCAACCCCTGGCTCTTTCTCTTGGCAATTGACTGATTTTGCATGCTACATAGTCTCAGAGACTTAATTTCCTCAGTTGTACCTATCTTAGAAGGTTTGGTGTTTTGTTATGTTTTTTTTTTTGATAAAATGAAGTGATAGGAATGGAAAGCACTTTAGAGTTATAAAACAAAATATAATTTTATTCATTATTTTATTTCCTTGGTTCTAAAGGTCTTTGCTATGATGTGTAGGATTCTATTTTTTTTAAACCAGGGTTAGGCCCTCTAGAAAAGGAGGTTTGAATAGTTGACAAACCATGTGAAATGTTCAACTATTTCAGCACTCCCAAAAAATAATGCCAAAGCTATGTCAAGGTATCCTCAAGCTGGTGGCAAACTGCATTTCTTAGCCATTGGGTTCATGTTCAAGAATCTGTGCTAGTTCTATTTTGCTTATCTCTCCCCATCTCCCCACCTTTTCCCAGACCTCTTCACCAAGTTACTGATCCTTCCAGGACCTGGCTGCTAACACACTCCCCTGCCCCAGTATTAGCCAACCCCAAACACATGTTGATTTCTCATAATCTTTTAATTTGTATTTTTGTTACTTATCCAGATAAGAGAAGCTTTGAAGGATCGAATAACCTCTGCAAAATGGATCTCCAGAATATCAGAGGTAAAGCCTTCACAGTCATTTTTGTACCTAAAAGTTTGACCAGATAATAATGCTGGAGTTTCTGGTCTATGAAGTGTTGTTAAAACTATCCTGCAGCACTGTGTGGCATGGAGTTTTCACAAGTGCTGAGGGAGTGCCTCTTCGAGCTGTTCAAATTCTTTTTGGAGTCCTCGGACCACATCTAAAGGGATGAAAGTCAACTTAATTGCATTCAGAGGAGAGAGGCTAAGTGGCAGGGCCTGGAGGGGTGAACCAAGAACCAGGCAGTAGGAGAGCAAGGGATGAAACAGGCACATGAGAGAAGATAAAAAGTCTCAGATTCCCATGACAGCCCACTTGTTCTTTATGACTCCAATTGGTTGAACCACATGCAAACTGAAAAGTCCAGGGAAACAAATTCTGATCCTGCACAAAGAACTATCTACTAACCTGATTTTCAAGCAGGGCTGCTGATCATGGTTAGTGGAGTTGTAAGAGAAGATTAGGGGCCTGGTCAGCCATTGGATGGTATACATGCCCTTTCTTTGATCACCACTTGTAGTATTGTTATGCAAGGTGCATCCCATTAGCTATTTCAGGTGAGGGAAAAACTGAAAACAATGTAAATGGCAACAAAAGAGGGGATTCTGGGTCAGCCCAAGAAACATATCCAGAAACAAGAGAAGAGGCCATTGACGGTTTCTCATGCCAACATCTAATGAGATCCACGTGGGCCAGCATGGGCTGCTGTTGCAGGAGGTTTGCAGGGAGAGGGATGACAGGTCATTCAAGGGCTGGGCATCCTGTGCCCCTGGATAACAGCATTGCCCCCTCCCTGTCACCTTGCTTTTTCATTCCTTCTTCTTTGCTTTCCTTAGTCCCCTTCTCCTTTTTCCCTTTATTTTTCTATCCCTTTTTGCCTCACTCTTACCAGTTTTGATCTTATTCCTAGTCCTTGGTCTTCATACCTGGGAGATTTGTGACCCTTCTACATCTTTTTCTCCTGAAAAATAAACAAAAACACACACAAAAAGTAGCAACCCCCACCCTTGACCCCGCCAATCCTACCCTGTTTTTCTAAGAATAAAGCAGTGGTTCTAAAGCAACGGAACTCAGCCTTGGCCAAACATCAAACTCAATCAGGAAGCTTCAAATAATGTTGCCTGGGTCCCGCCCCTGGAAGTTCTAATTGAACTGGTCTGCAGTGTGGCTTGGGTTTTGGGTGATTCTAATGTAGTCAAGGTTGAGACCCTCTTCACCTAGGCCTTTCTAACGTGTGTTAGCATTAGAAACATTTTCTTCAGACCGGCCTGCCTGAGGTAGTATTCCCACTCCCTCACTCTGGTCTGCCACCACACTCTCTGGAGAGAGGCATGACACTCTCAATCCCTTCCAGTTTAGCATGGCTCGTTTCCTTTCGTGTTTTCAATATCAATCCATTCGGCCACCGTACGGAAATTCTGTTCTTCAGTGCTTTGGAAAAATAGTCTTTTTTTTTTTTTAAAGACACGTCAGGATCATGCCCAGACCTTTATTCTCAGTTTTTGATTGTCTGAGTCAGTGGTTTTTAATGCTGGCTGCACCTTAGAAACAACTAGAGAGCTTTTTAAAAATACTACTGCCCTGGCCCCACCCAAGAAAAATTTTACCAGAAAGTCTTAGAGATAGAGCATAGTCCTTTTTTTTAAATAAAAAACTCCCCAGTGATTCTAAGTGCTGCCAGGATTAACAACCACTGGTCTAGGTACTAAGTAAATTCAGCCTAACTTCTTCTAATCCTTCCTTCACTCTGCCTACTAGTTTTTGGTCATTCCAAATCAGTTTTATCAGCCCTACTCAGAGCCAGTAGGCTTATCATCTGTTTTCTCCTCTCTTGCTTTGTGGGTTCTAATCCCTAGGTGGTAATCTTTTACAGTCCAGGTTGGACTCTGTCTTGTTATAATACCTGCCTGGAGAGTGTCAGCCCCCGCCAGGTTCCCAAAGCGAGGATAGTCAATGTGCTTGTCTGTGTTCATTCTGTCTTCGATGTGATGAATTAATCTATGCTCATGTAGTAATAATTTTACCAGTGAATTAATGTCTTACGTATCTTAGGCACCATATGCCTAAAACACAAAATATTTTAGACTCCAGCTTGTGATAAGGGGATGACTGTAACATTGAGGACTTCAGCTGGCCAGCTGAGAGGGAGTGATTTGGGGGATAGCAACCAAGATAGTGTTGACCTCTTCCTTGACTCCACTTGCCTGTCTGCTCCCAATTCCCTCCCAAAGCAGAGGCTCTTCTGGAGAGGGAGCTGGGACAGGCCAAGGAGTGGGAATCTCCTTGGGGATCCCCACCAGCCTGTTCCCATGCTGTCAGTGGTTCTAAACACAAACAAGGAGAGGGAGAAATTAAAATGATAAAATAAATTGCTATAGGTCACAATTCTCTATGTGCTGTGGATAATTGTGGTGATTGAAAACAGACTAATAATAAGTGAAGTTATCCTTTTGTCTCCAACAGAACCTTTCTTCCGAATACTCCTGTCACCCCGCCAAAGGGCCGAGCTAACAAACCAGCCTACTGCACTCCTGATGGGGGAGGTGAGTGCAAAGCAAGTGGGCCCCCAATGCATGCTGTATATATGGCATTTCTTTAAATAAAACACAACTTGATGACTTGATTAGAAATTATTTTTTCTTGATTGAAAGGATTTTCCTTATGCAGCCTATACTTATCTAGCTAAAGTCAGAGACATATTCACACTCCTCATTCTCGTACTACCGAAATTGTGGTTGTCCCTGTGAAACAATCAGGCCCATCTGAGAATGCTCTGAAATTTGCGTGGGGGTAGCTATGAGGAGAGTGAGCAGAGGTGCCAGCTCCTCACAGCTGCTGTCTGTCCTCCTCCTCCTCTTTGGTTCCCCCACCCCAGGACATCCTTCATGACATCAGCAATATCCCCAGATTTCCCACTGTGCGAAACCTTCTCCCTCCTGTGAAATGATCAAGGAATTATGGCAAACACTATCTATGTGAGGTTTCCAGGATAGTGTAGAAGCAAATTCACATTTGAAGACAGTGTCTGAGAGATTGAGACAGAGAGTAAAACACAGTTAGAGAAGGGAGCAATAGGGAGAAACAGAAATAGAGATACTTACCCAGGGGCACAGCAACTCACTGTTGGAAGAGAGCCATCCAGCTACATAGACATGTGCAAAGGGTCTTTGGACCTCTGTGTCGGTGAGCCCCTAGATCTAGAGAGAGACCAGGCAAGGAGATGGAGACGCTCACACCAGGACACCCACATTCACAGTCAAACAGAGAGATGCGAAGAGAGGCCGAGGGTTGCAGAGAGAGACCCAGAGAAATACAGAAACAGAGAAAGAGACACATACAGACTGAGATTCATACAGAGACATATACAGGATGACAGATCAGGAACAGAGAGAGATGCAGGGAGAGGCACCCAGTATGTAGAGAAAGCCCATCACTCCCACCCCAATACATCGGGTTCCAGCAGCCTGTGTTACCAAAACCTTCTGCAACAGCCCAGGGTCTTGTACAAAGAAAGGGGTACTTTCCAAGAGGCCAAGAGGTTCAGCTTAAAGAGTGAACCAATAATGCAGTTGTTGTGAGGTTTTTGGGTCCTGCTGCTTGTACATTAAAGCTTGCTGTTTGTGATTTTCTGTTCTTGACAAGGTCATACATTCCAGGAATGGTGGAGCCTCCAGGAGAAATGTGTTTATTCCTGCGTTCTTGCCTCTGGGGAGCATGGAAGAAGGTGCTGATGGCAGAGGGAGCAACATGCAGAGAAGATGGAAGGCCCCTCTCCCCACCTAGTTCTGTGCTGCTAATCACTTCTCCCACATCAACTGGCAACATCTATGTGCCATTCTGGGAATCCACGAAGGAACAGAAAGACAACATGGGGCACAGCTGGACCTTGGTCTCATTGGGGCTTCCAGCTCCAGCCTGTGGGTCACATTTACCCCCAGGCTCTGGCTCATTTTGGCAAAGGTGGCCTGGGATGTCACCTGGCTGGATCCTGTGGGTTGCTGAGGGAGAGGCCCTCATAAATAGTCACCAACAATTGGGCTGACTCTAAGTAGGCCATTGACGGCTCTTTGTACAAAAGGAATCCTACTGCTAGCATATTCCATCCCTCCATATTTAAATTGATCTTCAGGCTCCCAGTCCGGAACTTTCTCCAAGCACAATGAACCACTGAGGGACTCTGTCTACTCTGACAATGTAAGATTAACCCTTATCAACAATATATTTTTTTTTTGAAACCTCGGGTTAGGAAGGGGAAATATCATGTTTCAAACAGAGAACTGCTCATTTTCTTAACCTCAAATGTAAACAAATTCAACATTCAAAGCAGGAGCCATCTGATAGGAGAGCAGTACTGCAGATACAAGCTCTTTTAGAAAAATAAATTAAAAAGCTCCTTTATAAAGCAAGTACACAGGCTGATGCAGCAGAAGAAAATTAGTGGATAAAGGAAAAGGGGGCAATGGGAAGGCCCTAATTATCCTGCCAAGAGGTCTGCATTAATGAAGTTACATTACAAATGAGAACATGACACTCACTTTGTGAATGACTGGGGTCTCTCTCTCTCTCTCTCTCTCTCTCTCTCTCTCTGCCTCTCTCCCCTCCCCCACTCAATATTTCCTCAGTAGGAAGTATTGAAAAATATTATAGGAAAGGGAAGTTTGAGAAATAAAAATATAATAAAGAAGTCAGTCAGAAGGTAGAAAAATACACCAACCTGCAGAATGGATCATTTTTCAAGTAGCATTGCTCATGTTGGAACAACAATTGCCTCTTTCTCAGATGAAGTCAGAAAGTGTTTTGAGCCTGACATTGCCCAGTATTTCTGTAGGGTTTCTTCAAGGGAAAGGAGTGGGACAGACATAATGCTGATTTATCAATGCAGGGATTTCAAGTACAAAGAAATGTCACTTACCCAGAGTGATATATTGAAATGAGGAGGGAGCCTCATGAATTCAAATAGTTACAGGATTATAAATTTGGAATTTTAGAAAATACCGCGTCTGACTGTCTCATTTTACTCTGAGCACAATAGAGAGAGAGAAGGTGGAGAAAAGAGAGAGAGACCTTTTGTATGCATTGTGCATTGAGCAGTCACATCTAGCATGAAAGCACATGGCTGGGAAATCATTCTACCTAGGAATTATTATTAACCAAGAAAGGCCCATGGATGCTAAGAGAGATACTCTGGAACTATTTGGGAATCCCTTGAACAAGCTGTTCCCTCTCTCCTGCAGCCCACAATCCAGCCTGCCCCATTCTGAAAGATGTCAATAAACTCAGATGGATTAGGTTGACTGTGGAAGGCCCTGGGTGAAAACACATTCGATGTCCTATCCACGCCTCACCAAGGAAGTGACTTGGTCACGTGGCTCAAGGAAACATTAGTGAGAACAACATCTAAGGCAGGTGCATAGTTAGAACACTTAGTGCATGGTGATCTTTGGCAATTAATTAAATTTCTTAGACTTTAATTTTCTCTCTATAGTTTGGGGAAACTAGAGCCTACCTCATAGGGTTGTTGTAAAGATTAAATGAATAATTGTAGGTAAATAGTAGAATAATACTTGGCAATAGTGTTTGCCCATTAAAGTCTTAGCAGTTTTCATTAGACTACCTGTGAATTCATGAACACACACACACACACACAAGCAAACACACAGCTAAAACAGAGAGTTTGAATGTAGGTACTCTCATGGGAGTTAATCCAATGACTTCTCAATAAAAGAGTTAAGCATTTGATTCAACACCAGGGGTGTCAGCCAGAAAAATATGCTGACCTTGCCATTGAATGACCGTTTCACTCACTGTTACCATGGTTGTAATTATAGTTCCCTGCCTGGTAAAGAGAACACACCATGGGCTCTACTCAGGACACCCTGTATCTGAGCTCTGCTTCACCCTTTGCCTTCTCTGTGAAGCCTTTCCTGCTTAGTCCAACCAGAAGTGCTGATTCTCCCCACCTGATTTCCTTTAATATTCATAATCTGTGCCATTCACTTCCTATTTAGTATTTATTGTTACATTGTTGAACTTTAGTCTTTGTGTGCATATATTCCCCAGATAAGACTGTAAACTTTTGGAGACAGGATTACTCACGTTTGTTACTATGCACTCAATTTTGTATGCCTGAAGTACAGAGCAAGGTGTCTTCTTTTTAAAAAATTATATTGTATTGATTATGCTATTACAGTTGCAAGGCGTCTCCTATGTTTAATAAAATTCTTTAATTACACAACCAAAGATTTGATGATACTGGCTTTTCCAATTGCCAAATGACCTGGCACTTAATTAGCAACCTCAATGGAACCGACCTATTTCCACAAACATAGCCTTCTTGATCTCCCTTTCTGTAAAAGATATGACAAAACTGCCTTTCCTTATTTCTCTGTATTGTCAACATTTCCCCTGGTGATAGTTAAATGTAGGTTTGCATTACATTTGGGGGCCAAGATGATACATAAGTAGAATACACTAGAATAGGGATGCATGGGACTATTTGGTGGCGAGAAGGACAATCCAAACTGGCTACCCTGTCAGGTCATGTGACATTTACTGCAAGTGGAGATGGAACCTTCTGTTCTGAATTCCCCACGGCCGTGGCCGCAGTTAGAGGTTTGGTAAGAACAACTTGGCCCAGTAACTAAAAATTAAAACAAAAATCTCTTTGGTACTAAGGTAGGGATTAGATCAGGACTTACTGATCAGTGTCCTAGCCATTTTTCCCAAGTCCAATATCAGTACAGGCAAACACTTGATAGCCTTTTAAAACCATCAACAGCAGTGGCACGATCTTGCATTTTATTCCCCACGTCCTAATTACACCAGTGCAACAGAGGCAACACAGAGTCTCATGTGATCATCTGAGATAAAGGTGAGAAATTAAAGGACAAACAAGTGACTCATTTTAATGGATATGCTTCAGACAAGAGAAACCTGTAATTTCTCTTAGGCGTGCTAGACTGGACAGACCCATTGCAGGGTGAATCACAGACTTACACAAGCCTCGCAACCCTGGGCAGTTTTACAGTTCTCAGGTTGGCCTCTCAGGACACACAGCTGGTTGGCACGGGCCTCCTGGATTTCCCCTTCAAAAAATGGAAAAGAAGGATCACTGCCACTGAGGGGTCACAGTTACCCACAGGAGGTGCCAGTGCGGACACACGTGATGGTGGGGCACGGTGGTGGGACGCGCAGCACCGACCTTCCTGCTGGGCTGCTACTTATTCTCCTGGATGCTGTGAGTACGCACGCCCCCCAACACCCTATTCCTACCAAAGGCAGGATTGCTTGTGTGCATATTCCAGGATGGGGAAAATGTATAATTTAGGATGGTATTTTCTGGAATGCTTATGTAAGAACCTTTCCTAATATTATTTAGACATTGGCTAGCTCAAGGTTGGGTTATTCCCTGTCTTCTTTACACTTGTTTTTCTTTCAAAAGTCATTTGTCAGGCTCTAAACTGTTCACTCCCAGGAGTGAAAAATGCAAACACCTTGTCAGGCAATTAGACTGTCTCTTCTTCAA